CTACTCCCCTCATCAGTGTATTTCATCAGTCTGCCTGTTCTGCTCCCCACTCTGGTGAATCCTCTCACTCCCCTGCACCTCTAGCCTGTACCCCAGTTCTGTATGCATAAGTAAATCTAAAAATTTTTTTTTAAGAAAATAGGCATTTAAACAATTCCCTCCTACTGATTAAAATGGCTTTTTTCTTTTATTGTTTGGCCAAAAAAAGTAAGAAATACTGCTTTGCATATTTTTAGGGGAATCTCTCATTCTCTGAGACACATGAAAGTTAGAGAAATCAGAATTAAGATTGGGTTGGCTCTCTTCCACAATGTCCCTGTGCTTGCGTCACCTAATGTTCTTGATGAATGCTTTGTAGCAAGTCAGTAATTCTATACTTTTTGGGGAGTTGCACTTAAGTTATATAGACCTATGAGAAAAAAAAAAGTGGTTATATGAGTTACATAAATCATAACCTGGTTTGGCTGCTGGTGGCCAGTTAAGGTACTTGAAGTCACCCAGCCTAGGAAATAATAGAGGAAAAAGATCGTCCCAGCTATCGTAGTGCTAAGAGCTGTGTTGTTTCTTGTAATGTGGAATATGGAGATTTTTTTTTTTAAGATTTATTTATTTATGCATACAGAGCTGGGGTACAGGCCAGAGGTGCAGAGGCAGTGAGAGGCTTCATCAGAGACAGTGGGGAACAGAGCAGGTAGAACATCAAAGTACACTGCTGAGGGGAGCAGCGGACACATCAGGAGAGGTCTGCTGCACCATGTGGTCACCTCCGGGGCAGGCAGAGATCGAACTCATGCGGAAGTGCTTTAGCTTCTCAGTGCTGTGCTTTAACCCACTGCGCCACCAGGGAGGGCCAGAATATGGAGATTTTAGGTGCACCTTAGTCATTGGCTTGACTGGCTTCTCTGAATTTTAAAAGAAATAGTATAATGGTATTTTGCATAGTTCAGCATAATTGAGTACTGTATTGATTTCAGGGAGAAAGCTAAAACTGAGGCTAATTTATGAAGGAAATAAACCAACTGCACTATCTTTAAAAGGATATTGTGACAAGCTAAACAAATATATATCTTAAGTGTATTGTGTGAATTTGAGTATGTTCTCCTGCCATCTTGTGATGTTTTTTGATTAACTCTAGGTTATCCTAATGTTGCTCCTGAAAATAAAATTAAATGTCAGCAGAGGGCAGCAATAGTATAGAAAAATTGGCATTGAGTGATAAAACTTCTACTCTAAATAGCTATCTCCTGTAAGAAAAGCTATTGAACAACACACTTGGCTCCCATTATTCCTTGTATCCTTTAAAAAAGTGGAGGTAAACCTAAAATAATAACAAACAACAAAAACCCCAACCAGGCTTGTAACATGGAAAACAAAACCTAAAAATAATAGTATTCTCTATTTAGTGCAAATTTCGTGATTGTTTAAATCACCTTTGCTCAGTATGCAGATTATTTTATTGATAACTTTCACTGTCATGTCTGTCATACCTGAGGTGGCGCCCCCTGTCCTCACGTGCATTTAGTCATCTGTTTCTGTTTAGACACACTTGTTAAAGTTCCCTTCCTGGGAACTTTATGTGTGTCCTCCTCATTGAACCCAGTATTAACCTTAGCACATCTGATCACTTCATTTCTTCCCCTGGAGTTCGGAACACATATTAATTGATTCCCGACATCTGTAGGGAGAAGCCTTCCTTTGCCCTGGCTGCTGCTTCCTGCCTTGCATCTCCGCACTCCCTCTGTACACCCTGTGCTCAGTGCAGTGGTTCCTCTCCACACCTGCTGGTCCTTTATACTGTGTCACGCATGCTTTTCCAGCCTTCACTTTTCTTCTACTTTCTTTGTCTCTGTAATGAACCCCTGCTGTTATCTCAAGATTGAACTCTACTGTTTGTCTTTCTGTGAAAACTTTGGCCTTGTTTGTACAGAGATAAGCTGTTTCTTTGGTCTCCATAGCAACTTTTGCTTCTCTCCATTGTCTTTTTGTTGGTTTTTCATTGCCTTTTAACCCTACGTAACACAAGTGATTCTAATAAATAATGACATTTGTTTACTTGATGAATTTTCTTCTAAATGGGAACTAAGACTAAAAGAAGTTTCTTTAGTATTTCTGGAAAGGAGTTGGCTTTACTAATTTAATACTTTTAAAACTAGTCTAGGATTTGGTTGGGTATTGTTAATTTGGAGATATTTTCTTTAAATTTCTC